AACAAAAACTAGGGGGTTATAGTGATTTCTATAACTAAATCTATAGTTAGCTAGACCAATATATACTTTGTAAATAAATTAACTCGTGCTAAAACCTTCTGTAAACTAATAGACCGTATACAAGTTCTTATACGGAATTAAAAATCACGCATCGCGTGACTAAGTGGCTTGTTTATTGAAATCTTTACAACTTTTTATCGCTTTTCTTGTCCTTGATGGCAGCCACCCCTCTCATAGTCTCATTTTCCATGCGAACAAAATATTTTCTCTATCGAATGAAAGGTTGAATAATGTAAATGTCCTAACTCAGGCATAATTAACTAGACACAAACTTAATGCATGTGCTTCATATGTGCACCGTCCCACAACATTTTCATTAGATATTCTCTAATGCATGAGAGCCGCACAATCTGGTGGTACGGTTTTGTACAAACAGGCTACAAGCTTCATAGAGTACCATTTCTGTTAATTAACTGTATAAAGTACCAGTGGTCAACATCTTTTAAAGTTTAGGCCATACATCGATTAATTGCATGGTCAATCACTTGAAGTCCTTAGTCTTACACATATAGTACTCGATCGTTGATCCAAATACGGTGTACGGACCAAGGTCGGCAACATTTCTTGATTTGCATATGGATGTATGTACAAGTACACAAAACCTGATCTAAGTAATCAACATAAACGAGGTCATAATCTGATCATTTCTTGCATGGAAGTATGCACAGTGGTATTCTTTTTTTCATTATGACCGTTTTTTTCCTCGATTTTCATTAGCACGCTATCCAAATCGTTAAACGGTGTCCCTGTGTAAAAAACTTCTATATATAAGTTGCTTTAAAATATCAAATAAACCTATTTTTTTAAGTCTGTAATAATTAAAAGTTAATAAGTTATGCACTAACATCTTTCTCATTTTGAGTGCTTTAATTTTATCTTCATCTTATCAATCTCAAACATAACTAAACTCCATCTAATTAAGGAAGACGAGTGAGGTCAGAATTTGATCAGACGATAAAGTGAGGCCAAATTAAACTCAAATTAAACTCATGGGTATATGTCAAGTAGCAGGTATACGGCCGTGGCGGCCGGCACAGCCTCAGTTTTATTGGATGAGATATACGTTGATAAGGCAACAGTGGTTGGATGGTACTACTCCCTCAGCCTCTCAAACTTATAGGTACTAGCTGTAGTAGACGGCGGGTAAATACGTAATCGATGACTTTCAAAATATTAACTATAGCTAATACATAGAAAAGATATTTTTAGGAAAAAGTGACTCCAATAGATTTGTCATTTAAAATGATTTATTTTTTATATGCATGATTAAAATTAAATGTAGAAATGAACTGAGCGTACCTTAACTGGTAAGGTATCTTACGGGGAAATCTGTCCACCCGGATTCAAGTCCTCAACTTGACATGGGTACCGCATGCGTGTTCATAGAGTCGCGCATGTGTATATAAGCGACGTCTGTATTGTTTTCTATAAAAATAAAGTATCATATATATGTACATAGTACGTTGCTAGAATGCTAAAGTACTTCCTGGTTATAAATATTTGACATTAATTAGAATAAGATTTAATTAAAACTTTTAATTATCAACTTTATGTAAGATTTAGAAGCCTCTTCTACTCATTTTGTTGTTGTTTTTATATCAGATTAAGTTTATAAGTCTAGTAACAAACTTTATGGTACTACGATGGTATTTTAAAGAAAAATCTAGCTCATACCATTATTTTTGTTTTAAATTAATAATTCTCAAGTAATTAATTACGGATTGTCACGGTTTTAAAAGTTTAACCAAATCATACACCTAGTTTTCACATATCCTAATTAATCACCTTTTTTGTTTTCAACTATACCAAAAATACATATATACGCACACGCCACATGCGCACACACACCCATGAGTATATATCCACACACACCCATGAGTATATCACATAACACACTCTTAAAAAGTTAAATTTGGAAACCAGTGACAAATTCCTTTTCTTCACTAAATTCCCATACTCATGTCAATGCAATATTTATGGGCACAAGTATTTCAACCTTGGTGGAGGCTCCTGCACTTATGAATTCACCATCACACTACCGGTGCTTCTTCCCAGATCAACGCAGGAGAACTTTGTTGCATCTTTCACTATAACCATATATATCTTAGAAGCCTGTGATAGAAAATGCATATATTCATGCTGCACTCCAAAACAGATTGATCTTTCCAGGAAGTGCTAGGTTGACATATGTCCACTAAAACATGTCAATCTGCCCTGACCTAAAAGATCAAGTATATATATGGTATATACCGAAGATATGGAAACTCTCCGTGTAAAAAAATTCCATGCATATGCCATTCTTATCTTCTAGATATATAACACTTTCTGAGTAACTTTGACACTCATCAAATGAGTGCAACACACCAACAATCAAAATGCAACCCATGCACGCGACTAACAATATATATAGGAGTACTTCATATGTTCCATTTTATTTGACACCGGATACTATATATAAATTAAACTTTCACTGCTCGTCTTTTTTAAAATATATATAGTTATGAACATCGAGAAAGATATCATGCTAAATATAATCATACTACTGTTGCATTCATCACAGCATCTCGTAATAAAAATCGTGATTCAAAATTTTTTTATTGGTGTAAAAGGTAAAAAATCAAATTGGTCAACGTGTCAAATAAAAAAGAAACGAAGAGAGTACGAGTAACTTCCACGCACTGCCGGCCGTTATTCTACCACGCTAGCTACCACCATTTCTCCATTATTTTTGTGCGTGCATCCGGCGGCGGCGGCCACTGCCTCCCTCGTGCCAATCCAACGAGGAGATGCAATGCAAATTATATTGGGACAGGAGATAGAGAGGGAAAAAAAGGTTAAGATCAGGAGGAGAAGACGAAGACGATGGCAAAGAAGAATACTACGTACACTAGCTAGTTTCTATCGTGCGCTGTGACGAAGACTAACCCAACATATGGCCGGCCGGCCGACATACACAGAGGCGTGGCTAAATGGCTAATGGCATTTTCAGGTAGACAGCGAGCTCGCTTTTGTTGAGGGGTTTATCCAGCTCATACAACCCACTATATAGAATTTTTTCTTTTTACAATGAAAAAAGGCGTTTACAATTCAACCCCACTAAGAATTGCTAGCCTGCTCGGTGAATATATTATATACTACACGTACCCCTTTATTTGATGTTGGTAAGTTTAATTTTGAGCTAACCACGAGTATATTGTAACGAGAGCATTCCACTAATCTGATATGAATGCATATGTGTTACATATAAAGAATACTACTTTGTAAGGCCGAGGGTCGATATGGTAATATGTATTGTCCTATTCTATGCATGTCGATCACTTTTTGAAATCTTTCTAATTAAATGTAATTTAAAAATCGATAATAAATTACATGTATACTTTATTTCATATCTAAACTTTTTTAATATCTAAATAATACTCCCTTTATCTATTTTTAATAGTCATATTTCATCATGGCACACAGACCAAGGATAAGTGATTCTAATTATCATCCATTTAAACATGCTACTAGTCATTCCTCGTAAACAGGCGATTTATTAATATTTATATTTCTCGATGTCCATGCAGCTAATCTTGTGTGGAAGAATGGAGAGTCACGCATTAAATTCAAGAAAACCATTAAGATGATAAGTTGTTGGATTGAAATATGCCTATCAAAAATAAATTTTTCAGATTTGAAAATATGTCTATCAAAAATAGATGGAGAGAGTATTATGGTACAGTGGGACAACACTAAATGCGAGTGATTTTTACAATGGAAACATATATAATTCCTGATCCCTAGACTAACTAGAAATACACACAGCGGAATTTATGGATATTGAGATTTGAACATTGATGAGTGTAATCATGCATCTACGATTTCACTACCACACCGAACTATGTTTTCCCGAATAGGTAACAACAGATTGTTATGAGTTTTTGCCCATTGTGGTGGCATCGATCAGCATGGCAATTAATTAACTCATACAGTTTACCTGTCACTCGCTAGCTAGCTCTTGAAACATTCTTCACAACACTCGGTGGGGAACCGAATGGACATTTCTGCTGCCTCAGCCTGCACGTATGAACCCATGATCCGCACATGTATATCCTGCAGCTTAATTTACAATTAAAGGGGTAGGAGAATGTTGGCCAAAAGGCAAAATTTTCCCTTTCCAGGGCACTTAACAGTTAACACCTTATCAGTTAACACAAGATTAATTAATTAAGATTTGCATGCACCTTACAATACATTTCAAGCAAAAAGGCTGACTTGTAAAGTGATCTTGTTTTATTTTATTTTTTGGGCGTGATAGATTTATATTAGACCAAAAGCACTAATACTCCCTCCGTTTTTTTTATATATGACGACGTTTACTTTTTGGGATACGTTTGAACATTCGCCTTATTCAAAAGTTTATGTAATTATCATTTATTTTATTGTGACTTTATTTATATCAAATATTTTTTAAGAATGACTTAAATATTTCATATTTTTCAAAAAAAATCGAATAAAACGAATGATCAAACATCGATAAAAAGTCAACGGCGTCATATATTAAAAATGGAGGTAGTATCACACTAAACAAATCCAGATAGACTCGAAATCTTTTCCTTTACCAGTAAAAAGCTTTTCTGAATAAAGAAAACCAAGAACAGAAAAGGAAAAAGGGGAAATTGAACTAAAATATTATAACAGCACTAGGGAGCTATCTCCTTCGTCACAACTGGGCGGCAAGATGAGGTTTGGTCATCTCATCAGCTGACCCCTCTTTTTCAGTTTTTTCTTGACCATTTTTTTAGGTCACAATTGCTTTTTCCCTATTTCTCGTCTCGCCTTCGTGGAATTTGAATATGTTTCCACCAACCAACCAACCAACCGTATGTGCAGTGTGGTGCACATTTTGTCATCTCCTACCTTTTGCTCTAGCTTGCTAGCTCATCACTATATAATCTCCACATGGGAGAGAAAATTAAGACAGTGCAGACGCCGACCACCTCCTCCTCTCTAGCTTCTCCGACGACGCACTCCGGCGATCGAGCGGCCGGCAAGGAAGAAGAAGAAGAGAGAGCAGGTTGGAGAGGTCGTCCATGGCGTGGAAGGACAGCTACTTGGACCTCGTGCTGATCCCGGCGGGGATCGTGTTCCCGATCGTCTACCACGTCTGGCTGTGGCACGTCGTCCGCCGCCGCCCGCTCTCCTCCACCGTCGGCATTAACACCGCCACCCGCCGCCTCTGGGTCTTGGGCATGATGAAGGTACCAACCACGTCGATCATGGTGTTCGATCATGGCCCGGAAATCGATTGGATTAATGGATTTTGGAAACGCAGGACAACGAGAAGAAGGCGGTGCTGGTGGTGCAGTCGATGAGGAACGTGATAATGGGGTCGACGCTGATGGCGACGACGGCCATCCTCTTCTGCACCGGCGTCGCCGCCATCCTCAGCAGCACGTACACCGTCAAGAAGCCGCTCAGCGACGCCGTGTTCGGCGCCCACGGCGAGTACATGATGGCGCTCAAGTACGTCACCCTCCTCCTCGCCTTCCTCCTCTCCTTCCTCTCCCACACCACCGCCATCTGCACCCTCAACCAGGCCACCTTCCTCCTCAACACCCTCTCTTCCTCCTCCTCCTTCGCCGCCGACATCGCCGGGCTGCCGGTGACCAAGGACTACGTCGCCGACGTGCTCGAGAGAGGATTCCTCCTCAACCTCGTCGGAAACCGGCTGTTCTACGCCGGCGTGCCGCTTCTCCTGTGGATCTTCGGCCCGGTCTTGGCTTGCCTCTGCTCCGTCGTCATGATCCCGATACTGCACAGCATCGACGTGGTTTACGTCGATGGGAGCAGCAAGGGCGAGGCCAACGCCAGAGTGGAGATGGTGTACGAGAGCGATGAGAGCGTCATGCAAGTTTGACCAATTTCGGACACGAGTCGGACTCTATAACCTGCCTACCCTCACGGAGAATATGTGGTGGTGCTCTCGTCTCGTCCTTCAAACTCGATCTTGAAGAAAAATGCGGGCAATTCTTGATCCAACAGTGACTGCACCTGTGTTGTGTGTGTCATGTTTGTGGCTTGGATTGTTTTGAGTATTCTTATTCAAGACATGTTTAGCATGGCACGGCCGGGAGAGTACTTGGTGCTGTAACAGAGACTCACTGATCGGTCAACTGTTAACGCACAGCAATGTACTGGTTACAACTGCTGTAATCTGTCAGAATAAGATGTTCTCCCCCATTGATTCACTATTTGTACGTACTATCGCAAAGTCTTTTTCCTCCTCGAGAGGAACTCCCATCGATTTTCATTTCACTTATAAAATTTAAAAAAGTCACAAGATATACTAATATATGATATATCACAATATAAATATATAAATTCAAATTCATCTTATATAAGTATAAATAAAAATAACAGATAACTTGTATATACCCCCTCCGTTTCTAAATATTTTACACTGTTGACTTTTTAGCACATGTTTGACCATTCGTCTAATTCAAAAACTTTTATGAAACATATAAACTATATGTATATATAAAAGTATATTGTTCAATGAATCAAATTATAGGAAAAGAATTAATAATACTTAAATTTTTCGAATAAGACGAATGATCAAACATGTTTAAAAAAGTCAACAGCGTCAAATATTTAGAAACGGAGGGAGTATATCATTTTTTTTACTGGGAAACTTATTTTTCACCTAAGTGGACATACACTTGTTTTGTGCATTCAACTAAAAAGCTACCATGAAAATTTTTTTAAAAAGTAAGATATATCAATATGATATATATCATTTTACAAACATACAATTTTACAAACATACAAGTTCAAATTCTAAAAAAAAAACAGACACAAATATGATGATCAAAAGTGTGTATCATCTATGGATGAGATTTGTTATTTTTATTTCTACTCATATAAGTTTTTAGTTGGCATGCACGAATTGAGTGTATGCCCACTCGAGTGATGAAACCACTTTCATTTTCATGTTTGTGAATAATATACATGTAAAATATTGATATATCTTACCATTGTATTTTCTCATTCTAAATAGCTTTTTAGGTGATATGTATAAAAGGAGGAGATGTCAAGCGGAAAAAAATGCCTCCAACAAGTACAAATGATCTAAGTATCATACTCCCTCCATTTTTTAATAGATGACGCCGTTGACTTTTTCTCACATGTTTGACCATTCGTCTTATTAAAAAATTATGCAAATGTATAAGATATAAATCACACTTAAAATACTATGAGTGATAAAACAACTCATAACAAAATAAATTATAATTACATAAATTTTTTGAATAAGACGAATGGTCAAACATGTGAAAAAAAATTAACGGTGTCCATTTTCATGTTTGTGAATAATATACATGTAAAATATTGATATATCTTACCATTGTATTTTCTCATTCTAAATAGCTTTTTAGGTGATATGTATAAAAGGAGGAGATGTCAAGCGGAAAAAAAATGCCTCCAACAAGTACAAATGATCTAAGTATCATACTCCCTCCATTTTTTAATAGATAACACCGTTGACTTTTTCTCACGTGTTTGACCATTCGTCTTATTAAAAAAATTATGCAAATGTATAAGATATAAATCACACTTAAAGTACTATGAGTGATAAAACAACTCATAACAAAATAAATTATAATTACGTAAATTTTTTTGAATAAGACGAATGGTCAAACATGTAAAAAAAAATTAACGGTGTCTTCTATTAAAAAACAGAGGTAGTATATGTCTGGTTGGAAGATGCGTTCCTCTCCACCAGTAACCAGCTGACACAGAGGCCCTATATGTCTGTACTTCCTCCACCAGTAATTTGCATTGAAAAAGGGATATTGTAGTACAAAATTACAGGACCTTGTACCCTAAATCCTACCGGACACGGCAGAAAAATTGGAACTGCAAAAAAGAGGGGGGAAAAAATCCCAAAACAGACAGAAGATTGCCATGGAATTGAATAAAGAAGAACCATATAGGCCAAAATTCTGGCTAGGAAAAACAGAACAGAACTTTACAGCCACAGTGGCACAGCCCAGGGCCAAATATGTGGGACTGCATAATATGAAAAAAAAAACAATGTGTGCTTTATAAAATTCAAAGTTGTAAACCCCTTTGCGTTTTTATGAGATTTGGGCAGTACTAAATGGGTTAACGTGACCGTTGGTGAAAAATTAACAACAAAGTGATACCATCTGTTCTTGATTTTGTTATAGTAAATGGAAGATATCTAACATTATAATTTTATAGAGAATTGTCTGTTATATGACTCGCTATAAAAGTAGAAGTTTGCCCTTGCAATTTCAAGACGGATATATTTACATCTCCAGAAGGACACTCTTATAATTACAGCTTGATGTGCTCACGTACGTGTAACACATGTCTCCTTATATGAGTCTTTTATGTTCATAAAATAGTTGCACCCTAAAAAGGTGACCTTTGAAGTTAAAGACATGACCAGGGGCTCTGTTCACAACAACAATAACACAGATCCTGTTCCCTCCAATGACGAAAGCTCTCAAAAACAGAAAGCCAAGTTGTGGCAATGTGCAAACAAAAATGCAGGGTTTTCTCAAATGAAAAACCGTGTGCCTTGCCAAGTTGCCATGTTGATCTTTGCATCCTTCGTGCAGGTTTGTGTAGCCTGCAACACACAAGTTGTATTTTTGGTGGATGCTCGCTACTTCCACTCAGTGGTAGTCAACATCTAAAAGATCACAATATGTAGCAATCCCAACCACGGAAAGGTGTGGACAATGTTAACCACCTAGGTAGTTAGGTCGTTGATTTTAGATAATTTTTACGGTACTCAAGTCGGTACAGGAAAGTAACAACACTTTATGGTACTCGCGAGTTTAGAATCCACTCTTTTTTTCACACTTCACGGTACTCGCGAGTTTAGAATCCACTCTTTTTTTCTGAACTCCTTATATCATCTCTAGAGTACAATCTAACCATTCAGCGAAACATGGGACCGAGGGTACATGGTTCAATTAATTGAGTACTCCATCCGTCCCATAAAAACAAACTTAGAATTAGATGTGACTTAATCTAGATTCATTGTACTAGATTAAGTCACATCCAGTTTTATGTTTAATTTTTAGGACAGGGGAAGTATGCTTGTAGTGTGTAAATCTATCGTGAGACCCACTAGTAGAAAAAAGAAAGCTAAACCATCTCCATTTCCTATTCAGATGAAGTGGTGTCCAACCGATAGGCAAAAAAAAAAGTAATTTGGATGTTTTTTGCAAGCATGTTGAGACCCTCTTTGTTTAGGCTTATAAACCAATTTATAAGTCGAAAAGTTTAAGCCTAAACAAACAAACAATTTTTTCGTTTGGCTTTTTTAAAGCCATAAGCCACTCTAACACTATTAACTCAAAAGCTAGGTTGGAGAAGCTTTTTTACTTATGTGAGGTATATGTATGAACCACCAATAAATTTAGGACATTAAATCATCCCACTTATAAATCATATAAGCCAATAACCTAAGTCAATAAGCTTAAGCCTAAACAAAGAGGACCTGAGAGAGAAGAGAAATGGCTCAGCTCGCGCACAATTGGTGCAAACTAATTTCAATTAAATAGACCTAGCTAGTGAATAACCGTGAAAGTTTATAGATAATGGGGATCAGTTGGGTCTATTTAATTGAAATTAGCCCGCACCAATTGTGCATAAGTTGAGCCATTCCTTTTCTCTCTCAATACGCTTGCATGGTATAAGAGCTTTTCATGTCGAGGACAACAGACACATGCGTCTTGACGCTTGGAACGCTGAGGCGGAGGTAGTGCTGGTGTCACGTTGGTTGGCACTGCGTCTTGGGCACGAGGCGTTGGTGCCGTGGTGGCAAGCACCACATCGCGCACGCCCGGCTGGACAACCACGGTAGAAGGAGAAGGTGTCGTGGTGATTGTGTTGTCTGACAGCGTGATGGCGTCTTGGGCCGCCTGTGCTTGAGTGAGGGTGGCGGGAAGATCATCGGTCTTGCCAGTGGCTGTTGCGGCATGGGCAGTAGCAAGCGCCGTGACGAGGTTGGCAATAGCGTCTTGGGGCGGAGGGAGGGGTGATAGGAGCGACGCCATCGATGGGCTGTGGAGAAGCCATGGATGCAGCGGAAGGAGAGAGGGAGAGGGAGGGGGCAGACGGGATCAATCTTGCTTTGACACCATGTGTCGGTGACATGGGACCAGGAATATCGTGACTAGAGGCTTGGGCAGCCGCGTTCACCCACGTGGCCTGACCCCCTCGGGGGGGTCGGGCCCGAGGGTGACGTGGCCACCCCTCCCTCTGTCTCCCCGAGGGGTCGGGCCGCTCCCGTCTCAGCCCCAAGGGCTGGGGCGCCCCGACCCCCTATGGTGTTGGCGCCACGTGTGTGGGTTAGGTGAGCACAGCGGCGCTCACCTAACCGCACTTATTGCGGGTTGGACGAGCGCGCCACGCCGCATTTAATGCAAGCGCAGCGCGCTCGCTTATCCGGTCCGTGACCGGTCGCAGTATGTGACCGGTCACAGACCGGTCAGATCGCTGGTTAGGTGGCAACAGGCGGCCTGACACTCGTCTCGCCCCGTCCCGTCGGAATGATGAGAGCCTCCAGGCACTCGTCCCTAGCCGGAGCCGGCGTGGTAACTCCTGGAGTTGGCACGTCAGTCCCGGCCAGATTCATGCCAGGCTTCATCGCAACCATTGCAAGGAAGTCATTGTATGAAGAAGGACAGATGTGCGGCATGCTAAACTGACGCGTGGTGGACAAGAATGACCGGTCTGTGACTGGTCTGACGCCGGTCACGTCATCGGCAGACAAACCGTGCTCCCATGTTGTATTTGCTTCCAGCGAAGTGGAGGTAGGTATGACCCATCCCATCGGAGGGTCATTCGGAGCAGCCATTGTAAATCCTCACCCAAAAGAAGGGGAGGTAGAAGTGGTGCATGTGGTATCCCCTTGAGATATAAAAGGAGGACCTTACCCACCGAAGAAAGGGATCCGGGATCCGGGATCCGGGAGGAGGAGAACTTAGAGAATACCTGAGCTGATAGAGGAGAGAAAGAGAAAGAGGGGTTCTAGAGCCTGTACTCTCTTGCTTTCCAGTTCTCTGTAACCCCTTCACACACAGATCCACCAGAACACAGGAGTAGGGTATTACGCTTCTCAGCGGCCCGAACCTGTCTACATCGCCCGTGTCTCGTGCATTTTCTCTCTCGCGTACATTCCACAGATCGAGGGTGAAGAACCTCACTTAGCGCCCCC